ATACATATCCTTAATTTATAAATATACATTATTATTTAAATAAATAATTTTTTTTTTATAGTTTCCAAATTATACACTTTCAAATATGAACATTTTTATAAAAGTATTTTCGTGATTTTTGTTTTTCCAAATTTTCTTGTTGAAATTCTAATTTTTTAGAAACTTTTTAAAAACTTTTCTTTTAATTTTAAGTATTCATTTCTATATTTATTAAAATTTTAAATCCCATTCTCCAAAATTATTCCTATCAAATCTAAATCATTTATATTAGTTAATACTAGAGTTATAAATGTCTATTTATCTATTTAATACTGAAAGTAAATATAGTTAAGATAAATGTGTATTAGAAAAGTGGTACTTTAAGAGATTTCTCAAAATTGTGAGGTATATATTATATGGTTAAGAAGTTTTAATTTAGTAAAGTTCGACTCGTACTGGTCACGATATGACTTAGGTCCCATTGTGCGGGTACAGACACAGGCTGGTACTGAACCTAGGGGAGATTAAGGCCGACCGAACCCATCCTAGCAAATCAAAAAAAAAAAGAAAAAAAAGGGTAATGTTGAAATTTTGTACAGTGACGTTAAGTCGACACGAAGACTTGGATAATTGGTTACATGGATGTGGTTTAATGTTTGACTCGGTTCCATATTTCCATTCTTCCCTATGGTTGAACAACAACTCTGGCTTAATTAATATAGCAAACAAATATTCAATATGTATTTTAATAATTAATTTTTGATATGGTTGGCAGGGCTAAATGTTATATTTATACGAACTGCTAACCCAAAATCCTCAATGCGCGAAGACTAAAAGATAAAAATATCGAATTATGGCTAAACAAAATTATATAATCCCATTTATGCATTGGTGAACCGTCATGTTCTTCTGCTCATTCTACATTGCTAGTTTGAATCACTAACAAAAAAAATATAACTAAATGACAAATTTATAATTCATTACTACCTTTCAAATACTTGTCCTTCCTAATCCAAAATCGTGGTCATTATATGATTCCCTTATTATCTAGGTACAAGATTTCCCAAGAGCTAATTAAAGTCTATGTACCTCTAGCTACTTTCAATAACATCCATAGTCGAGCTAAATACACTCTAAATCACCTCCGAGGGATCCAGTGTGGGTTGCTCTCTTCCCTTTCAATCATAGAAAATTAAATTTCTGTGCTCGAGAAACATATATATGATAGATCTATCATAATTTGTATTTTGACAATATATACAAAATAGATTGATATAGTATCAAATCTAATCAATTAAAACTGAAAAATAAGTTAAAATTAACCCTCAGTTCACCTTAAATAATACAAGTCTATGCCAGTGGTTTAAACCATATTTAACACTTAAATTAAACCATCTAAATTTAATTAAACTAGCTATCCAAAATATTACATCTATACCACTATAAACACCACCGGTTTTAACACTTTCACAAACCACATCATTTCAATAACATTTACCAAAACTAGAATTAAATACAAATTTTGACCACTCATCACGTATATAACATGGAACTTATTTTTTCAATTGTAATTCATATTCGAAAAGTTAACATAATTATCTGTAACTCGATTCTTATCTTGAGTAGCACATGTGTATTTTTCACATTTAAACGCTCAAAAGCCTACAGATTTTTAATCATTTATTAATTTCTAAAATATTTAAACTACCTTACAATATATTAACAAAGATATTTAATTCATTTAAATAATAACTAAAATCCTAAATTTTAGCTAACTAAATATCGACTCTTCGCACTATCACCATTATACAAGTTTACTGTAGCTCCTATTAATCGTGAATAGACTGCTTCTTAGAAATTGTCTCATACTTTTGAGATTAAACATCTACATTTCACGATTATATACATATAAACAACTAAAACAAATGACAATTTAAAAAAATTAATAAAATCAAAAGAAATAACCTATAAATCATATTAAACATATATTAAATATTGGTAAGTGGTAAATATATATACAATCAAAAAAAGTTTGAACATTTTAAAAATTAAAAAAATACCCGTACGAACGCACGGATCAGAGTCTAATGATATTATTAAAATATGTGAGAAATAAACCTTTTATCAAAATATAAAGTGAAACTATTAAAAAAACTTGATGAAAGGGAAATTTATGTAGTTCAAAAAATTTGGCATTTTTTTGTCAAAATATGTTTTATTTTGTGTCAAATTATTAAATACCATAATCCTTCGAGGACTAGATGTGGATTTCGAAATACTTCTCATATCTTTGACTAGCTAAGTTACGACTTTGGTCTAAATATCATATTTAGCGCTTTTGATCTGTCTATGTATATAAGATTACATAACATTAGCATCAAGTTCATCCTCAAAATTTCAGCGGAAACTAATTAGCTATATCTTTTAGAGAGAATATACAATCAGGACATGAAAACCTAATCTCACCCGTCTTCTCTTCTATGTTTTAATTAAATGCATCATTCTAAGCCTCATATATGCCCTCATCGATCTCAGACTTTCCAATAAACTTTTTATTATAAAGTACTGAAATGCTGATTATTAATTTATCATCAAAAGTATCATATAATAAATATATATATATATATATATATATATATCTACATGTATGTATGCATTTGAGATAGATAGTTATTAACTAAATAAACCAAGCGTCTTGCTTTAATGGTATGGGGTTCCAGTTGAAATTTTCACTCTGAATTCGATGCACTTTACCCACTTAGCTGTACCATTTCAGAGACCGTGAGATTAATTTTTGAGACTAGAAAGTCTCTGAGATCTCCACAATTATTTAAAAAATACTGTTAAAGCACGCGCAACTGAAAGTTATGACCTGATTCATGCAAACATATTTTACAATTTTAATGGTGATTAGTTCTATTGATATGAACATTTTACTAATTATATAGTTTGTTTGAAATACTATGAACATATGTTTCATATTTTATATTATTTCACGTGGAAAGTTCTTAGTCATTTGATCAGATTATTAATCAATTGACATCATTTGTAAATTCAATTCTCTGAACAATTTCCTAAAGATTATGGATACAAGGCTTATTTTAGTTTGTAGTGTGTCGCATATAGTCATTCTCTGCACTTCTCTTTAATAGAGAAGGATATACTACATATTAGTCTCATACTCTACCTATGGTACACGCAGTGAATAGTTCAAGTAACAAGCAAATCTCAATCGAATCTAAAGAGCCACGTTGGATTCTTGGGCATATATATCTTGACAACCACTTAGCATCACATTAGTTCAAGAATCTGAAGCCTATGTATACATATAACCAAGGTTCTAAAACGCAGCCGTCTGACTACCTAGATGGTCGAGTAGGCGTTCAATGGCAGTCAGCCACCGCGATTTTGGTCAAATCGGTTTAATTAATCGGAAACCCGATTAATCATTTCTAAAACTGATTAATCGCACTTAAACCTGATTTAAACCATTAAATATTGGATTTCAAAGACAAATATTTAGGTCACAAAACAGATCCATTCGCCTTGAAAGAAAGGACAACAGGCCGATTAATCATGACTTCTGTTCTTTCCATATCTCTCTTCTCTACGCTTTTTTCTCAATAAGAATGTATTATATACGCATGCATGAATATGTGTGTGTGTGTGTGCATGTGGAGAGTATGACACGTGTAGCTAGAGAGTGGAGGAAATGTTTGGGAGGAAATGTTTGGGAGCAATTGCATCGTAAATTCGTAATTGTGCACTCACTGTTGCTTCTTGGGGGAGACAGGTTTAAAGGTTTTGAATACTCCCTCTGTTTCAATATAAGTGTCACTCTACAGCTATGCACACGGATTAAAGAAACAATTAATTTTATATATTTCCTATATAAAAACACAATTACCCATACAACTAACCATATTTTAACCAATAGAAAAACAAATTACATAATAAAATTAATAAATTTTACATTGAAAACCGAAAACGACACTTATTTTGTAACACAAAAAATTCTCTACAATGACACTTAATATAAAACGGAGGGAGTATTTTACATGTCTATATGATAAGATGTGAATTAGAAAATGGTTATTAAATATACAGTCTTGGAGTTGGAGATTGTTTTGAAGCGAACTACGAAGCGAAGCCTATGGCCTCTTGGGACTTGGGAGAGAAGGGTTACTTGGTTGTAGATTGAGCTATTTGTACGGCTTGGTTAATGGAGGCTGCACGATTACTATATATATATATATACAATATGCATATTATGTATAGATGTGTCTAATTAGTTCTTGTCGACATATATTCATTAAAACTTTGATCAATAATGGTAGGAGTTATACTTGTATATAATCAATAATATGGAATGTGAAAAAAATCTCTTCATATTACAATCTTAAAATATATATATACACGTTAAGTCACCACGATAGTGAAGACTAATTTGGACAAAACCGTTAAGATAATTATTTTGTTTTAAAATGGGTATGCAAGGTAATATATACTCCCTCTGTTTATAATATTACATGTTTTAGAAAAAATATTGATTTCAAAAAGATACATTTTTTACATTTTCAAAATATATTTTATCAAATAATAATAATTAATTAACTTCCAAAATAGTTAATTGCATTTATTGGATTACATTGGTTTAGATTTATAGGAAAAAGATAATCACAAAAAAACTATATATTTATTGTGTATTTTATTAATATGTGTGAAATAACTAAAATATACAGCAAATTAAAACAGAATAATTAATATACCAAAGAAATGAAGGAGAGACGGTGTGAAACGATAAAGCACAAACTTCGACTTCAATTTGTCTGATAATTTACCACAAAAAGGCTACTTGGAAAGGAAAATCTGAATTGGACAAGTTTTTCTTGGATCATGAGTTTCATAGCAATCTCCAAAAATCCTATGTGGGTCGTAGCGTTTTTCGATGTAATCTTTTTTTTTATAAAGTCCTCCTTAAATGAGCGTACATGCAAAAGATTATATCACCATCTTGGTTTTAGATTAATAGCCCATATTAGCAACTCTGGCATAAGCTTGTTTTGGAATATAAATGATAAAGCTTGTTTTGGAATATATAGTAGCATACATCAGAAATTCTTACATAAACATGATGAAAAACAGTTCATAAACATTGCTATATAGCATATCATAAATTAGATTCGCTATAATTCTCCTAAATCTCCATTGCGTTACTCTCATCAACAACCATATAACCCATTTGGGACTTGAACTCACTTAGATTCTTCACCCACTTACTGTAGCTCGACTCCTTTGCCAATACATCAACTGAAACTTCCTTCTTCTTCACCAATGTAATTGCATAGCTCTCAAATCCAACAATCTTTTTCCATAACAAAGACCGTCTCTGCACATCGATACTCTCGCTTCTCATATCATCCAGACACTCTTTTGCTTCCTCCAGCTTAGCCCAAAAGCAAGTATCCTGCGTAGTGCTTGCATATCGAGTTCTTGCACGCTTCTCTTTATGAGGCTCTCCTCTTTCTTTCCACCACTTATCAATCACTACATACCTTTTGTGTCTATTCCCATTCTCCATGTAGTGACCTTTAGTCCTTGAATACTCGTATTTGTAGAAGTATGCAATGTCAAGTGGTTCGGCTAAGAGTTGGTAAAACTGAGATGCATATACCCATTTCTTTCCAAGATGAAAATCAAAAGGTAACTCATTATTTTCCACCATACTTAACACACCATCCCAAAACTTAGCTAGCTTTGTGCGACTCATGTTCACCCTCATCTCTCTTTTTGACATTACTTTGAAGTTGTCGTAGTAACCGAGCTGCTTTGATGGGGGGTCACAGCTTTCTTTGTACCACTGAATCTCTAATCTCGATGGCAAGACATTACCAAGCTCAATAGCTAACTCACTCGATCTCAAAATCGGTGCACGAGCAATTTTTGTAGCTGTTTCTATACATTCTTTCGCTGATACACCCCATGGGTGATCACTAGAGAATCCTAGAGATTCTACTGCCAATGCTAAACCAGCTTGGTAGCTATTGTCTGAGGAATTACCACCACTAAAGCTTCTAGATATGAGAAACTGGTGAGAGAGTGTAGACACGTAATATCCGTACCTTGGACGTTCCTCAATGTTTTGAGTTGTTGCCGAGTTGAGTATAAGAAACATCCGACGAACTGAAGCAGCATTGTCTAAGCAGACACCTCCATTGTCAGAACAAAATAGAAAGGTTCCAAAGGGCCAGAGATCATCATTTCTTCGGGGAGCAAGGTCGTGGATGGAGACCACGTTGCAGAAGTTGTGTGCTAAACGTGATCGGTAGATGGAGGTAGAGAGAGTTTCGTTTCCGAGCAAAGGAGAGCCAAAGGTGATGCAGAGGAGGCGGAACGACGGCTTTGAAGGTTGTGAGAGAAGCCAAAGTGCGGTGAGTGCGGCCACTGTGCCGCCAGTTGAATGTCCGGTTATTACCACCTGTTTTCTTTCTTCCATTGCCAATCCTTGTGTGATCTGTTACATTTAGAAATTTAATGAGTGTTAGAATTATTTAGTTGGCTTACTAGTGGTGCACAAAATTGATATAATCCTAACCAGAAAAACCAATGTCGCCAAGACAAATGAATGAAAGAGACTTGGTTGCATAATACTTGGCTAGAGCGTAATTTGATCTCTCTCAAATTAAATATGAATTGGCTTGGTTTGAACTTTGAAGTCGTGGTTGTGGTTTCTCTAAATATATTTCTCATAGTATACTTAGGCCTGTTCAATACGGTAATACCGAACCGAACCGAACCGAACCGAACCGAAATAGACAATATGGTTTGGATTTGGTATATACCATATAAACCGAATGGATGTGATTTATAAAAACCGTAGGATTTGGATATGGTTAGGTTTATAACCGATTAAACCGAATAAACCGATCAAAACCGATAAGAAAACATATATATAAATAATATATATATGTACATGATAAATGATTTGTTATACAAGTTAACTTTCTTTTATGTTAATATTTAATATCATTTAATTTTATATTAAAGAAGCCCTAGAACACTTGAAAAATAAAAACAAAACTTACGACAGCCGAAAGTTGCTATTGCTTCTTCTTTTACTCTTTTGCTTCCTTTCTCCATAGAATACGTGAAGGTATGTCAGGAGTTGTAAAAAAAATTGGGTCATTCACCGTCCGTTTGTTTCTCTGTTTCATAATCAACTAATATTTTATTATATTTATTGTAGATGGGAGATTCTATGGCCAATAAAACTCAATTTGCAGGACAAAAGAGGAAGCAACCAACAGAACCTTCGGTTTCTACCGATGCTACTAACGTGCCGATGTCAAAACCAAGAAAGCAGTATGTGACTCGTTCTGATGCTTGGAAATATTTTACGAAATCTAAAGATGATCCAGAAAAGGTTAAATGTAACTACTGCCCCTCAATTCTTAAGTATAAACCAAAGTCTGGTACTAGTGTTTTGTGGACTCATCACAATGCCTGCAAAGGATACAGACCTCCTGCTACGTCTGACACTCAAGCGACATTGGTTAAGAGTAGTGAATCTGGTCAGCTGGTGTCAGTTGGATTTGATCAAAATGCTTACCGAAAAGCAACTGTTAAGATGATTGTTTTAGATGAGTTACCGTTTGCATTTGTGGAACGTCCTGGCTTTGTTCAATTTTGTGAGGTTGCTGTCCCTAAATTTGAGATTCCTTCACGTTCTACAATCACTAGGGATGTAGTCAAAATGTACAAGGAAGAAAAAGCTTTTCTAAAGAGCTTGTTCAGTAAGAATAAGCAAAGATTGTGTTTGACTACAGATTTGTGGACTGCGTCTACTACTAGTATAAGTTATATGGTAATCACTGCTCACTTCATCGATGAGAACTGGTGTTTAAAAGGGAAAATCATAAGTTTTAAGCCTGTCCCTGATCATAAGGGAGAGACAATTGCAGAACGACTTAAGAGTTGTATGATGGAATGGGGAATCAAGAAGATTTTCACTATCACTGTTGATAATGCTCATAGCAATGACAATGCTATTAGACACTTCAAAGAAAAGCTGCAGTGTATGACCGCTGATGCTCTGGTTTTAGGAGGAGAGTTTATGCATGTTCGCTGCTGTGCTCATATTTTGAACTTGATCGTAAAGGATGGTCTAGATGAAATCAGTAGCAGTGTGGATGCTATTAGGAATGCAGTGAAATATCTAAGGTCATCTGATCATCGATTTCTATCCTTTCAGATGCGGTTATCAGTGAGCAGGAATGTTACAAGAGGGAGCTTGGTTTTGGATTGCTCTACAAGGTGGAATTCTACTTACCTCATGTTAGAAGCAGCTCTCAAATTCAGGTCAACGTTTGACATAATGGCCAATGAAGACAGACCATATAATGCTTATTTTCTTGAGTGGGAGAACAAGAAAAAGAGAGATGGTCCACCACTAGAAGAAGATTGGAATAAAGCTAGTCGTTTGAAAAAATTCTTGGAGCTTTTTTATGATTCAACATTGGCATTTTCTGCTACTAAGACAGTGACGTCTAGTTCCTATTATGATGAAATTTGCAGCATCGAGGCATCCTTGATCTCATTGAATAATGATTATGATCCTAAAGTGAGAGATATGGCATCTTCGATGCAAGAGAAGTTTGACAAATATTGGGATGGTTTGGCTAACATGAATCCGATATTGATTGTTGCCAGTGTCTTTGATCCTCGCAGTAAGATGGTGTTTCCTACCATTTGCTTTGACAATATGTACGGTAAAAACAGTTCGACTTCTGTTGAGATGAAGGAAAAAGTCATGAGTCTTTTACGTAAGTTGTTTGATGCGTATAAGATATTTCAAAGTAGGAACATTGATGCGTCGAATGAAAGTCAAACTGAACAAGCAACTAGTTTGGTTACTAATATGACGGTTGGTGGATCTTCGTTTAGTAGCACTCGTCGGCGTCCCACATTATTTTCAACGCTTTATCAACAAATGCAGTCTGCGGACCAGTGTGTTGAATCAGCTAATGAGTTAAGCATATACTTGACGGAAAAGGTTGAAGTAGAAGCAGCTAATAATTTGGGTACAAGATATGATGTTCTATCATGGTGGAGAGACAATAGTATGAAATTTCCTATCTTGTCTGAAGTAGCAAAGGATGTTCTTGCGATCCATGTCTCCACTGTTTCATCTGAATCTGCTTTCAGCACTGCCGGTCGAATCTTAGACCCGTATAGGAGTTCTCTTTCTCCTCCTATGGTTGAAGTCTTGATCTTAACACAAAATTGGATCCAAGCTGCAGCTTTTTCTGATAAACAAAAGAGCATTGAACAGATGTTGGAGGAACATGATTTCATGGACTCCCTAGTAGAAGGTACGTAATTCATACTTTAGTTTGTAAGCATTGAGCTTTTAATATTTACAAGCATCAGAGTTATTCACAATTTTTTTCTTTTATCTATAATTAAACCAACAGAATTGCGCGTTCGGTCAGAGGAGGAGTGACTTTGATGGAAAATGTTATGGGAGAGTGGAGAAACTTTTCTTTCGTGCTTTGATTTTGTTTTTCATTATTTTATTTTCACAGTTTTTTTGAGTTTTGGTTTTAGGTTTGATTATTTTATTTGATGATAGAAAGTAGAAGTGTTTCTATTTATTTTATTATTTTTGAAATTCTACTAGTTACACACATTTGGATTTTTTTTAATAAATGATTGCTTTAACAACCTGATTCTTTGAAATTAATATAATACTAGATTTTGACCCGCGCAACCGCGCGGGTGTTTGTTTTTATTTATAGTTAGTTAGATAAAAAATTTGTTTTCACTTGTAAATTGGTATATATTATAGTAATCACATATTTACGATATGTATAGTAAATGTTTTTCAAACATAATAATATTATATAATGAGTGTTTTAATCAAATAGATTGTTTCAAATTTTCTATATTATACATGTTTTTCAAACATGTGTTTGTTTCTTCTTCTATATTTTATTATTTGTTAGATTAGTATTTCATTTTTAGATAAAATAATATAAATAGAGCTTGATTAAATATTAATGTATTTTAATTTGAAAAGATAATATAAACTTCGAAGAAATTTTTGCTAAAAACTAAACTTATAGCTTCATAAATTAATATTATAAATAATTTTACTTAAAAAAGAACTTTTTAAACATTTTTTTAAAACAATATAATTTTAAAAAATTACATCGAAATAAATTTATCTAATATATATAGCGTGTAAATTTTGTTAAGGTATATAAATATTTCATATTACTAATCTGTGATTTTTGTTAATATATTGTGGATGCATTTAACTATTATTGACATATTTCCTTATAAATAATAGAAGATTCCTAAATTTATATCTATTGACATATTTTGTGTGATTAAGTTGGAAGGCGTGAGGTAATTTACCAAAACCAAATTGTTAAGCTTATTATAAGCTATAATAATGATAAGATTATTAGATAGTTAATGTCACATAACTTTCTAGTAATAGTCCATTTTAAAAAAAATCACACATGAAATCAAGTTATGACTTCTGTTTTAATATATAAGATGAAACCAAATGAAATAATAATATTTTTGGTATAAAACCGAATAAACCGAAAATCGCTAGTATAAAAACCGATCCAAACCAAATTAGATATGGTTCTAATATGGAGCTGATTTTTAAAAATCGAAAAACCGAAAAACCGAAAAAACCGAACCGAAACCGGACCGAACACCAGATTGAACAGGCCTGTATACTAGGTTAACAAAGTTTCGGTTTAGTGTCAACGTTATTTCTTTTGGTACGGTGCTAATCATCTTTTTCTTTTGATGCATTTTCTTAGTAGTTTTATTTCAAATTTTTACTAGTTTTCATTTCTTGGTTGTTTGAATTTTGGAATATTTGGTTTTCTTGCTTACTTGGAGTGTCTGGATATTTATTTGGAGTGTGTTTTACATTTTTATGTAATGTAATGGAATGGAACCTATGTTTTACATTGGTCTCACTTTGTTTTTACTTATGCGGTCACTTACGAAGATGTACTTAGTTTTTTTCCAGATTTTCTTTTGTTTTAGATAATTTTAGATAACGACATAAAATTAAAAAAAAAAGATATATCCAAAGAAAATCGGTTTTTGGTTTTACAACAAATTTTTGAATCCGAGATTGGAGGGTACCAAACGGATCCTAGCTAAAATTCATAAATATTCAAACAATACAAAATTCATAAAATCCAAAATAACCAATCCAAATCAAAATATCAGAATATCTAAGGGACTATAATAAAGCATGGGCATACAACATATGTACATTTATCATATTTCTAACTTTTTACCATCTTTAACTTCTATATCATGTAACAAAGTAATTAGCCAAACAGAGAAATATCAACAAAGTTCATTTATGTCTAGTTCTTGTTTTGCTACAATGATGGTTGTTTTCATTCAAGATCTTAAAATCCTATATATGAAAAGAAAATACAGAGACAAAAAAACGATTTTGTGATTAAAAAGAAAAAGAAGAAGAGAAAATGATACCGTCAACTGTCAAGCTATTTAAAAGTTTGAGTGGCACACTCAAACTCAAAAAGACGTTTTACCTAATGTGTTACTTTCTTTTCCATTTTTTTCATATAAAAATTAAACGAAAAATTAGATTAAATTAATATATATTATTTATTTGTCCACTTTGCGAATGGTTGGACATGCGTTTAGAGGTGTGCGTGTGTGTTAGCAATTTAGCATAAAGCTGCCATTAACAATACACTCAGCCTTTCATCACCGGACGTGGCATTAATACCAAAAGTTTAATTTCACTTGCTTGTCAGATCCGAGGTCACGACAATGTCTTACTATATATTGTGAAAATTATTGTCTGTCCGAATCTTTCACGGATTTCTTCTAACAAAATATTATTTTCTTTCTCAAACAAAATATATATTACTTTACATCTTTTATCTATTGTCTATTGCCTGTAGCTTGCTAGGGGTTGGTGGGTGATATTCTGAAAATACACTTTTCTATTTGATTTAGAAAGACTAAGAAAACAGAGGCAAATACTTTGGTCATCTTTTTGCTTTACCAACTAATTTCTGATGGAACTTAGTTATGGTTTTCTAGAACCTAAACTTACCCCTTTTATTATTTGTCATAGCAGCATTAATTGAATCTGTATTTCGTCAACGCATTAATCGAACCAGTTTGTATGGACAATAATAGATACGTAAAAATACTAATACTCCTGACTATCCAATGAAAATTGCATACAATGAATAGCAAAAGAGAGGTAAAAAGGAGAAAACAAACCTGTGACTGAATATGGAGAGCTGAGGAAACAAAGAGTTCACGTATTGCACCGTTGACCATAGGAGGAGGCTTATCGGAGGGTAATGATGTTGACAAGGTCGAGAAAAACCCATCTCCGGCGACTTCCAGGACCACGAGATTTTCCGGTTGAGTAATCTCCACCTCTGGTAAAGCAACGTATATGATTCCGGCGATGTTTTGGATCTGAATACTCCTTGTGCGATCGGCCACGTCACATAAACTCCATGAATCAGACCATAACGGAGTCGCAGTCATGAACGAAGCCTGTAACTCGCTCGTCTCGAACCGGCACTCTTCCATGATGGCTGGAGTCACTGACTTACTTGCGTGTTTGTATAGTTAAAATTGACTTTTATAGAGAGAATTTTAAGGAACTTTCTCATATAGTTGCAAGCTTCTTTCGTATGTATTTTCTTGATGATTTACTTTTTGCTGAGTCGTTGCCTCTCTTGGTCTTCCTTTCTTTATCAACATGATAATTCTTCTGTTTTTCTTTAAAAAAAATAATCATTGAATAAATACACTGGAGGGTCCATTTCATTTTATTTAATCATTGTGGGCACTTTAGGACAAAATAGAGTAGAAGAGGCCAACCAAGGGAAAATTAACATTTGATAATCCCACGAACATGAATGGTTTAGACTCAAGAATATATTGCAAACTTAGCAACTTTTGATATGCAGTGAATTGTGTAAAAAACTCAGCCTATAATCTATATATACATAAGTGATAAAGCAGTCTATATACACACTGAGATATTAAAAGTTCTTGCCATAGATTTCATGGAGCCAATAGGTTTCATCTTAGGATGTTTCTCACTAAATCTGGCCCATAAAAAGCTTACACGCTAGCCTCAGCATGACTTGAGGAGACTTTTAAACAAATAAAAAGGAGGTTGAGGCATTGGAAGATAAACAACAATGATGATAAAAAATTTGCTAAAAAAAAAGTGAAAGGAGCTATATACTCTTGAGTCCCTCAATGCCAAGAAAATGTCAAATGTGAATAATGATCGTTCTAAAGCTACTATATAAAGTAATCTTATACTATAAGGTTTGATATTTATTCAACATCCTTCTATGATATATAAACAATCATGTTCAGTTCTAGCTAAGTCGCCATTATAAACGTTTTGACTCTCCTGATGCTTTTGTTATATGAACTTAGTAGTCGTCCCAAGTCTCCTTTCCTTATCACTATATTTTCTTTTTAAATCACAGTTTTACTACTCTTAAAAATCAATTAAGAGAATACCGTGAGAGCTCATTCACTGTCTTTTTATCAGTGTTTGGGCTCGGATAGGTGAAGGACAATACAAAATGCAAATCGTAGCTGTTTTTAAGAGAACATGCACATCATGTCGAGTACAGCATTGTTGGGACAAAACAAAATTTGTGTTTTTTCTTTGAGTACTAATGATGTTAGTCAACCAGACTATATTTTCAGAGGGTGACCATAACTTGAAAAGTCATGGGTTATGAGACTATACAGCAAATTATTTGACTTTGGAGGTTAAAAAGCCCAATGACTTTTCAAGTTATAGTCACCCCGGAAATTATCGATCATTTCATAGTTAATCGGCTATATCAAGGAATTACCATCTAGTACCAATCTTCAGGTTATATATTTTCCTCAAGATGTGCACGACTCATTGTGGTGTATATTGAAGCATCTCATTCACACATCCCCTATATATTAATTGAGAAACATTTGAAAAATATAACATTAAGTTTGTATTAATTAAAAAATAATCCAATCATATGTGGCACATCTCTATGCCTTCTATTTCAAAATATAACTAGATTCTGACTTGCGCGGTTGTGCGAGATTCTTTATAATTTATTTAAACTACAGTTAAATGATTGATGATATTTTTTAAACTTGATTCGTGCTAGATTGTATTTATTGGTTTTTGGTTTGATTCCGGATTGTTTGTGAATATTTGTTTCTGATTCATAAAATATATTAATAGCTTGGTTATTTATTAATTGGGGTTTGGTTTGTGTTTTGTTATTTTGGTTTTTAGTTTAAAATATTTGTCAGAATTATAAGAAATTTTACCTAATTTAATTAGAATATCTTTGAATATCTTTATTTTTTTATTTGAAATACAAATGAATATTTTTGAAAAAATCTAACAAACCCCATTGAAATGTCTTTTCAGAATATTTTCAGAATTTATTTTTGAACAGTTATTAATTAAAATATTAATTATCCTAACATATAATTAGAGGTTATAATAGTTTAGTTTTCATTTATAAACTAAAATTAAAATTATATATAATTGAATTATATGTAATGATAATAAAACTGATTAATGTTGTTAGTCATAAAAATATGAGCATTTGTTATATTGAAAGTAAATTAAGAGGATTTCAAAAAAGATTTCATATTTTAATTGTATTAATATATATTCTAATGAGATATGAATAAGGCCAAAACTTAAATAACAACATTGATAAGTAGATAAAATTTAGGAGTCTATTTTAATAGATTAGATAATTCTAGAGTTTCTAATATAAAGTATAGTCTAAAAATTATACTCTCTAGCAATATAATATTTCACAAACTATAGTTGGTCGCATATATCAAATATTTATTGTTTTGCAAGCTTTCCTTAAATAAAACCTACATAATTACCTAATGTGATTAAAAATATATATATATGACAATTAATGATTTTATACAATAAAGATTTGGTAACAATCTGTATACTTTTATCATTTTGTTTATTTTTTATTATTAAAATAAATTACACAATTATATTAATCATATAATAAAAATCTATATTTTTCTTGTGTGTATGTGGTATATCAAATTTTTCAAAACGAGTATAAATTACTAAATATGTTAAAAGTCTCACATAAGCTTTTATGATCAAGGTTTAAATTTTTTCCATATTAAGATACAAATGATTATACGACCATATGAAGAAATAATTTTATTTTAATAGGTTTTACGTTAATATCTATGCATATATATATATATATATATATTTCATATCGTTTAAATTAAACTATACATCGTATGAAAATACATACTTATATATTGATATTTGCATTCAAACATATTTGAAAAGTTAGTATTTTAATTTTGAATTCTGTCATTATTTTTTTTAAAATGATTATAAATTATTGAAACTACTAAACATCTCACATTAAAATAAAATTCATTGGTGTAAAGTTTTGTTACACATATATGCAAATAATCATAAAATCATATGAGTAAAAACCTCTTTTAATAAATATTCATATTAAAAGTGTGCTATATATCTATGTTAATATCATTTAAATTTAATTATATATATCATATACGATAAATAAAATTGATTGTTTTGATTTATTTACCCCAATTGCGATAAACAAGAGTGATCTTTAGATTTATATGCATACGCCAATTTATTATATAAGAGTAACTGATTTTTTAGTTATTTAATATATATACCTATTATTTTATTATTTCATAATATTCAGAAAAATATTGTGCATAAAGTGCATATCTTAACCTAAGTATGTATCTTTTTAATTATTTTAAATCTTAAACATTTTCTAAATCTCAGGCAAAAACAAACATACGAAATGAGAATAAACTTCAAAATCAATATTTATATCGAGTAATACCAAAATAAAAAAACACAAAAAGTGAAAAATATTGAAGATAGACAAGATTGACAAGAGAACGTAAATTTCTCATAACCATAATTAATTTTTAAATTGTTAAATCTTGATATAAAACTGAGTTAATTTTTAATTTTTTAATTTTTTTAATTTTAATTTTTTAAATCATTATGGTTATGTTCAATCATGACCATAATTATTTTTTAATTTTTATTTAAAAAACTTAAAATATTTTTTTTAAATATTTTTTTAAAAATAATTTAAAATTTAAATTATTTTTTATAAAATTATTTCTTCCTTTAAAAAATAATTTATTAAAAATATAATTTCTGCTATGATTAGAAAAATAAATAAATTATATTAAATTAGTTTTGAAATTCTATATATTCTAAATGCAAATATTCTACTAAATACTTCTTAAGAAAGCTTTAGAGAATTTGCTAATACTCTATAAATCAAGCTCTGTGACACTCCGTTTATTTTTTATCATTCAAACTCTGAAAATGAAAGGATGTATGAAATCGGACCCATTAAATTCTAAACTTTGATCTATAATTCTAATTACAATTGTTTCTGATCACGTATAGATAATTATATAAAAGTTCCAACATTTTAAAATTTCAAATACATATAAAAAAAATCATATGTTAATTTTAAATTTGTCAATATTAAAATTTTATATTTTATTTACATACATTCATCATGCGCATTATTCAGGTTTTATCCTAGTTTTAAATGAAAAGATAAACTGGCGCAGGTGCAGGTTTTCTGACAGATATAACTTCGGTAAGAAGCAGTGCCACCTTAGCACATTTGCACTTTTAAAAAAAATAAAAAAATTAGAGCACTATCTGCCAAAACGTTTAAATATTAAGGCCCTATTTTCAGAGTTACTGCAATATAGCTAAAGTTTGGGGAAATGTTTAATTTAGAACAAGGTCTTAGTATTATTTGGGCCGGGCCTTGTAAGAGGTTATTTATGCTCACTATAATTCAGTTAGATCTTAGGTGGAGTAGTATAATGTTATGGAGAAGCTTAACTAGTTATAAAGCCTGGTTATTTCATGTTATATCGTGAAAGTGAGATGTGGACAAATTGTATAATTTTTTTTTAAACTGGCTTGCTTATATAAAACAGAAAAAGGAAAATGTTTTTACAAAACCCCAAGGCTCTAGTAATAGAGCAACAGCTCAATAAATCATATAATAGAACCCACAAACCCAAAATGATTTGTTAGGAGGAAGCTTAATTCAGCCCAGTTTGTGTTGTAGAAGCGGAGAGAACGATGTGGAGGGTATGATAGTCGGCGAAGGTTGAGTGTTAGAGATCGATGAACCTGAGATATTGATCCAGTCTAGGGAATCCAGAGTTGCATCATCAGAGAGGAGTGGGTGGGGTTTGTTTCTCTAAAGCTCTGTATCTTATTCCTCAGTTGATGATCAATGATTGAGAAGAGAGAATCGAGTGATCAGAACTGATTTGCATGCAAGCTTTGATTGCGCTCATTCCAGATCCAGTAAACGGTAGCTTGCCATCCAAGGAGGGTGAGCGAACGGGCAGCTACCGGTGGAGTCAAAGTTGTCAACTGATTAAGCGTCTCTCCCCAACTCCGAAGAGGATTGATCATGCATTTGTTTGCAAGCATAGTCCAGAGGTCATACGAGAAAGCACATTCCCAGTAGAGATGGTCACGAGTTTCATCAGTGGAGTTGCAAAGAAGACAATTAGGAGGGACCTGCAATCCCCAGCTTCTAAGCCTGTCACGAGTAGAGATCCTGTTAAGCTTTACTAACCAAGCATGAAAGCTTTGCAGTGGGATACTCCTCTTGGTCCAGATAGCTTTAGTCCATGTTGCTTCTTCCTCAGTTCCTCTCATGTAGTGATAGACATCTCCCGTACTATACCTATTACTTGTCTTTCCCAAAATCTCCCATTCATAGTAATCCATGCCTTCATTGAATTGTAGTGTAGTGATGAAGGTAAGAACTTGAAGTTGATGCTCCGTACGAGCTGGAGGTAGTTGCCACGATCCATTGCAGTGTAGTGAAGCCAGAGTTGCTTTCGTTGGGACCCCAAGACGAGATCTACCACTTCCCAAAAAGTCCTGGAGGTTCCAAAAGGGCTCCAGTTATCAATCCAAAATCTGCAGCTCTCACTGTTGTTGATACGCATATGAATGAGCGGGTAAGCTACGTTTCTTAGCTTGAGTAGTTTGTTTGTTAACCACGAGAAGTTTTGAGATGGTTTCATTGTCCAGTAGTTTGAAACTGATCCCTTGAGAATCACTTCTTTGAACCAGGAAACCCACACCGAGTCAGGTCTGAAGAATAGTAGCCAAATTAGTCGCAAGCAACATGCCTTGTTCCAGACGATGAGGTCTTTGACACCAAGTCCTTCTTCTGCCTTAGTCTTCACCACTGTTTCCCAAGCCACCCTGGCAGTATTGTGTGCTTCTAAATTTCCTCGCCAAAGAAACACACTACACATGGAGTTTATTTTTGCAACACATGCTTTCGGGAGAACAAAAGAGGAGCACCAGAAATTGGTAATTCCTGAGATCACACTTTTTATGAGTAGTAGTCTTCCCGAGAGACAAAGTTTTTATTGACCAGGAGGAAAAGCGGGTTTTGATTTGATGAAAGAGAGGTTCACAATTTGCAAGAGACAGCTTCCTTGAGTTAATAGGCACTCCAAGGTAACGGAAAGGTAAACTGCCACATGACAATCCTGTTGAAGCTTGAATTGTGTTAATTTCCTCCTCTGACATTCCAGATGCATAGAAACTCGTCTTTTGCATGCTCACAGCTAGTCCTGATCTTGCCTCAAATTCTTTAAGCACTTGGAGTACACACTGGACTGATTTGATGTTGCCTTCAGTGAAAATGAGCAAGTCATCCGCAAACGAAAGATGCGTGTGCTTGATTTTCTTGCAGCCAGTATGGTACTTGAACCTTGATTGAGCTGCTACCTCATTTAACATGTGAGACAAACAGTTCATTGCAATAACAAACATGTAAGGAGATAAGGGATATCCTTGCCTTAATCCTCTTGTATAATTTTATGATGATGTAATTAACGATTTGACAATTGTTAAAACCCATAGATGAAGCTATGTGCAACAAATCATATTATGAGATCTCCGAGATTACACCTAATATGATAAACTTTTGGAGCTTTCACTTAAAACTATTGTTAATTAATGGAGTGGTCCATATTCTTAATTAATGGAGTTTCGAAAAAAAAATTAAAGGAGTGGTCCAAATTTTGTATATATTACTCATATTTCATTCATATTTCCAATATGAGATATTTTCTCTTTTTTCCTGAATTTTTATTATTAAGGGCAAAGCCCTACAAAAGAAACATCAGTAAAATAAAAGCCCAACATACGTCCCAACTAGAAAACAAACATACCAGATCTAAATTCCAAGGCCTAAAACCCCGAGCGAAAACCCTAATCTTCACAAACATCCCGCCTCCAACGGCGCCGAACTTCCACCAGATCGAGATAACGCGACTTTCACCGCCAGGGAAACTTCCATCAGAGAGCATCCATCGAATACATCGAGATCTCATCCGATTCCCAAGCCAACAAGTCCACCACAAAACCAACACTGATCTACCAGACCACCCAAACAGTTAAACACCTACAATCGAATCTTCATCTCTGACATACATGAAGCGGTTCCAGATGATAGATCGAGAGGCTGAAAAGTTTTTGAAGCGCAAATTCAGAGATCGAGAAGAACCAGGAAAACCATGGAAACCCAAAGAAACAAAACCGGAGATAGTGGTACTAAAGGAGCCACCACCTCCCAGAAACAAGAGCCGACGATAGCAGAGCTGTAGAAGACTCCACATCCCGGAATCAAAGCCAGCGGCGACGGAGCTATGGAAGCCTCCATCTCCCAGAGTCAGAAAACCAAAAGAGAGAACATGCAAGACAAGAAAATAGTAAAAAAAGGTAAACCGAAAACAAGCTGGACCGACAATGGCTGTAGAAGCCCACTCCGTTGGCCGGCGACACTATTCACGACTAAGATCTAGTGAGAAAACATAACTTTCTCTCTCTAACTCTTTAACGCACTCATTTTGAAAAATTACAAAATGCTTTTATCATCCGATGTGAGATATTCTCTCTAGTAAATAAACTTATAGCTAATTAGTTTTAAGTAAAATTTTGTTCACAAATTCGAATTTAACATGAAACGAGACAATTAGGATCTCAACCACACCAAAAATGCTTAAAACTTCTAGCAAAATAAAAGTATATAAATCCCAAGGAGTCGTCACATATCTTTAAGTATGGTAGAAACATTCAAATTAAAATTCTGGAATTGCATACATAACAACGCACCAATTAAAATGTTGCATTTCTCCATCAGTTCTTTTTTTTTGTTTGAATAATCCGGTGTATCCTGATACCCACCAAAGTGAATCCAGATTAGCGGTGAGTGTCCTTATCAACCTATGTTATCGGCTGGAGTATGCTTCGGTCATCGGACGCTGGAAGAACTTAGATTTTAAATTTTACCCTCAATGACCAGTAGGATTCGAACCTGGATCCGTATTAGGGCCGAAACTCCCTCAAGATCACTAGGGAAAGTAGACAACGACCACCAGTTGGGAAGGATTTTGTTTACTGGTCGGAGAAGATGGTCGAGAAAGTGAGCATCGACAGCTTCTTTAAGGAAACAAGGTCATCTGCTTCCTCGACAGGGACCTTAGCTGCATGATCCTAGACATCTGTTTTCAATGGAGTCGTTTATGATTGGGGACGGACGATGGTCCAATAATCAATTCGACGGAGAAAACTGAACTTGAAATCAATTTAGTGAATTTCAATGAAGATGACGAAAAATTTACCTCTGTTTCTTTTTTTTTTGGTTATTTTGGATATGACATAATTGACTGAAGGTAACGAGGGTCTTTGAGTTACGTTCAATAATGTATGTGACTTCTAAATGGTTTTAAATTTGTCCCATTCTAAGGTATTTCTTTATATATATCTCATTAAATCAAATTTAAAAATGCTAGTTCCTACATTAAAGGAAAAAAATGAAGAAAAATAACCACATGGTTGGAACAAAAAACTATTATATACTAACACCACATGGATCATATGTTTAGAAACTTAGCATTAAAATATATGAAATGGACAATGATGAATTGGGACTAAATTCTACATTACCCCACTCACTACCATCTTCATTCTATTTTAACCCATCATAAATTTGATTTTTTTTTTTGCTCAAAGTCTAAGTATGATTAAAAAATCAATTAACCTTAATGAATCAGTATTATGTGTAATATGAATTACTAGAAACAACTTTGAATTACTAGAAACTACCTTAAATTACTAGAAACTACTATGAACAAAAAACAAACTACCTTGAATTACTATAAATTACTACGAACAAAAAAAAAAAGTGGGACAGTGAAAAAAATGGTGGGGTAGTTAGAATAGTTATTTTCCAATTAGGGTATATCAGAATACTTTCCAATGAATTGAAACTCCCGTCTTATTTGTCTACGGCTACTAATACTTAATTCGTATTATAAATTCTTCTAGTTTGCCTAATTTCAATACATCATATTCTTATTCACCTTCCTGGAAATTCTTGTCCAAGTTATTCAATACAGCTATTGCAATTCAAACCTACCAGTCCAAACAATCAAACCCACCAAGATGACACGTTCATTAATTTGACTGTCTCAACACATAATATCTGGTACTCGACATGGTTTTGTTAAACCAACATAACGGTTTAGCAGTTGAGATACGCGTTTCAATTTAATTGCTCCAAAGATTATGTGTAAATAACGACTAAGGCAAAATCTTTTAATATACTTTTTTGACAAATGCACTTCTAATTTCATAACCGCGTTGCAGTGGAGACTTTTCATCTCAACTCATTCAATTATATATATATATATATTCACATGTAACAAACACAATTTTGAACAAAAGATTATTCTTCCAAATTCCTTTTTGAATTTTCAAGACTAAATACTTCACGACGCTCATCAACCATGAACGATCTTCTCTCCCGTTCTTTCAACCGCTCCGTCACCGACGACTCATCACCGCCACACTCACACAACATCGAGATGCCAAAAGCAAAGTACTCCTCCGGAGGAAGCTGCCGCGGTGGAAACAACCTCGACAAGTTCTTCCTCGACGTGGAGGAAGTAAGCAGCGATCTCAAAGAGCTTGACCGCATCTGTCACAGCCTCCAGCTAAGCCACGACAAGAGCAAAACGCTCCATAACGCTAAAGCTGTTAAAGAACTCAAGGACAAGATGGACTCCGATGTCTCTATGGCACTAAAGACCGCCAAGCGCGTGAAAGTAAACCTCCAGGAGCTGGACCGTGCGAATGAAGTGAACCGGAGTTTACCGGAAAGCGGACCGGGTTCATCTTCTGACCGGCAAAGAACTTCGGTGGTTAATGGGCTAAGGAAGAAGCTGAAGGATGCGATGGATAACTTTATGCGAGTGAGAGAGACTATCTCAGCGGAGTACAGAGACACGATTAACCGATTGTACTTCACCGTCACCGGTGAAAATCCCGACGAAGATACCGTTGATCGGCTAATATCCACAGGTAATAACTTCCTCCGATTATTTCTTATTTTCTAGTTATTTTAAATTTCAAACTGCCAGAAAATAACGCAAAGTTGTTAATTATTACTCTGTTTAAAATTTTCTTATTGTTTTCTGATTCTAGTGTAGTATTTTTTTTTGTAACATTAGTGTAGTATTTTCTATTAATTTATTTTAATCCTTAATTAAATTAGTAAAACAATAAATATTATATTTATTAGTTACATACGATTAAAACTGATCATTTAATTATTTTTTAGTTTAAACATTGAATATCTTCTAATACTGATATTCAATGAGTTATTTTCAACTAGGTGTTTTTGCCCGCACATGCGGGCTTAATGATTTTACAAATATCTATAAATAAATATGTAATCAATTTAAGTAACATTAAAATAAGTTATTGTTTATATATTCAAGATATTTAATAATAATTTTTTATATATTATGTTTTTCATCATAATATAATAATTTCCATTACATAAATTAAATTTAAAAACACTTATAAGTTAAAATATTTAGTAATAAATTAATATCAAATTTTAAGATATGAAAAAAATTTGAGTATAATAAAATTATCTTTTATTGCGTAAATAAATTTGAAATACTCTGGTATACATAAAAATATATAGAAAATAATATGTAGGAATTGTTTTTAGTTTTATTTTTAAAATAAGATGAAAATTAATTTTTGGATAACACAATATAAATTATTTTTTATCTATAATTATCAAATGAATGAGTTTTTTTTAATTAATGAGAAATTATAGATTAACAAATATAATTAGTTTTCAATGTTGATAAAGATTTTATAACACAATATAAACAAATTAGATAAGGATAATTATAAAATTAATGAAATTCGTTTTTAATTTATAATTAATTATATATTAACAAATAAAACTATTTTCAAGATTAATAAAGACTATTTAAAACATTAGAAAATATTTTTAGATAAGAATAAATCTTAAACCACTGAAATTCGTTTTTATTTATAGTTAATTATACATTGAATTTTTTTAATTATTTATTAAGGGTATACACGATATTAACCACTACAACTTTTAACGTGAGAGCTCCGTTGCGAAAAATCACTTCGCAAATAATAGTATAGATTTCAAACAGCCAGAAAATAGCGCAAGGTTGCTAATTATTACTCTGTTTAAAATTTTGTTATTGTTTTCTGATTCTAGTGTGGTATTTTTTGTAACACTAGTGTAGTATTTTCTATTAATTTATTTTAATCCTAATTAAATTAGTAAAACAATAATTATTTTTTAGTTTAAACATTGAATATCTTCTAATGCTGATGAGATATAAACTAAAATTATTATTGCAGGAGAAAGTGAAACGTTTTTGCAGAAAGCGATACAAGAGCAAGGTCGAGGTAGGATCTTGGACACTATAAACGAGATACAAGAGAGGCACGACGCAGTGAAAGACATTGAGAAGAGTTTGAACGAGTTGCATCAAGTGTTTCTTGATATGGCTGTGTTGGTTGAGCACCAAGGTGAACAGCTCGAGGATATAGAAAGCCACGTCAAAAGAGCTAACTCTCTTGTTCGGTCCGGTGCGGACAAGCTAGTTAAGGCTCGGTTCTATCAGAAGAACACGCGCAAGTGGACTTGTTATGCTATTTTGCTGTTGATTATTATTGTGGTTTTGGTTGTGTTGTTTACTGTTAAGCCTTGGGATAATAATAATGGTGGTGGTGGTGGAGGAGGTTCGAACCGTCAACCTGCTCCGGTGCAAGCTCAGCCACCGCCACCGCCACCGCCGGCTCTGACTAGGCGGCTACTTCGTTAATTCTTTTTTATTTAGTTTCTCGCTCGGTCTATTCATGGGGTTATGTTTTTGCTCTGGAGATTGTTTTCTTTAATGTTTTATATTGGTTCTTTTGTATATATATCTCGTACGATCATCGCACGGCTATAAGTAATGAAATAATTAAAATTTTCTTGAATTTCATGTGTTTGCAAAAGAAAATCAGATTTTGATGTAGAATTCATAAAATAATAAGTCAAAATTGAGCTGCCACATTCCGTGGAAAAAGTCAACAAAAACGTGAGATTTGAAAGAAAGTAAAAAAGTCAATAAAGATACTAAATTTTGACATATACTAATGGGCCGTGGGAAAGGCCCATTATTAATACAAAACCCAAGTGGAAAGAGAACAAACAAGGTTTGTTGTGTTGTGCCATTCTCTCTGTTTATTGTCTTAACAATGGCGTCGTTGAAGATGATAGGCAAGTCAAACTTGGAAATCTATTTCATTGATTAGTTCTCTTCTTCTAATGTGCAAAAATCCTGTGTGACTGATATCTTTATTTTTTTCTGTATTGTGGCTTTTTCTTTTGATGTGTCTGCGTATTCAGACATAGCCGTTAACTTCACAGGTCAGTTGCAGCATTCTTACAAACACTTTGTGACTTTATTCTGATTAAGTTATGTTCTGATCACATGAGAATTGGTCGAATTGAAACAGATGGGATGTTCAAAGGAGTTTACCATGGAAAGAACTTTCATCTTCCGGATATTGCGACTGTCTTGAACCGAGCTTGGTCTGCAGGAGTCGATAGAATCATAGTTTAGTCACACTCTTATCGATTTTTATAATCAATTTGAATCAATTACTCAAATTATAATGTTCTTGAACAGGTAACTGGTGGGTCACTGGCAGAATCAAGAGAAGCTCTTGCCATTGCAGAAACTGATGGTTTGTTTTAGTATTGACTTACTGATCTTTATTTCCCTGAAAGTTTCCGTCTTTAGATGATCTTTTATTTATTTCTGTGGATTTACACTTGCAGCAAGGTTGTTTTGTACTGTTGGTGTTCATCCAACAAGATGCAATGTTAGTGTCTCTTTCTTTTTGAGTTTCTCATTTTAATATATAACCAGATTCTAATCTTGTCTTCTTGAATCTTTCTTTAATGTCATATTATTACATCAGGAGTTTGAAGAGAGTGGTGATCCCGAGAAGCATTACCAAGATCTGTTTTCATTAGCCAATGAAGGAATGCAGAAAGGGAAGGTACTATCTCTTCTCATCTGATAGATACGTTGAATTGGTGTAAGGTTTCAGTCAGAATCATGCTCACCTTCTTATTAGCTTAGGTGGTAGCAATTGGTGAATGTGGACTGGATTATGATAGGCTTCAGTTCTGCCCTGTTGATATCCAGAAGAAGTAAGTTAGATCATAACAAAGTTGAAATTTTCACATGTTTGATTGATTCTGTTTTTTTTTCAACACTTACAATATATGTAATCTTCTGTGAGAAAGGTATTTTGAGAAGCAATTCGAACTAGCATATGCCACAAAGTTGCCTATGTTTTTACACATGCGAGCAGCTGCTGCTGATTTCTGTGAAATTCTTGAAAGAAACAAGAACAGGTGAAACAAAACTTGTACGCTAATGTTTTCTCATGTCTGTCTTAACTCATACTCCATAATCAACTCTCAGGTTCACAGGAGGTGTTGCTCATTCCTTTACTGGTAGTGCATTGGACCGTGATAAGCTTCTTTCTTTCGATAAAATGTACCTTGGTAAAGACTTCCACTAGATTTTCTTTTACTTATAAAGACTACTCTCCTTTGCGTATTTGTATTTTGCTCATGTGATTCTATTTGTTAGGTGTGAATGGCTGCTCGTTGAAAACAGCTGAGAATCTTGATGTAATGAAAGGGATACCTGTAGAGAGGATGATGATAGAAACCGACTCTCCGTACTGTGAGATCAAGAACACACACGCAGGAATGAAGTTTGTGAAGTCGACCTGGCCTTCTAAGAAGAAGGAGAAGTATGATCAAGAGTGCATTGTCAAAGGCCGTAACGAGCCTTGTTTAGTTCGGTGAGTATATAGTTTCACCTTGTCAAATACATTCTTGAAAAACTCTTCTTTATGCCATCATCATTTTCTTGTCTAGGCAAGTTCTTGAGGTGGTGGCTGGCTATAAAGGAATTGGCGATATAGATCAACTTAGCTCAACCTTGTACCACAACACTTGCAGGCATGTTCTCTCATCAGCAACATAGAATCATTGTTCTGTGAAGCTTTTGTCCTGATGGATTTGTTTATATTTTTGCAGAGTTTTCTTCCCTCAGGACTTGGATTCTGCTGCAGATGCTCTGCTTTCCGGTCACAACAACACCAACTAGCAGAAGTCACTATTAAAACTTTTTGCATTTCTCTGAGATTGAAAGATAATACATTACACCATTTAATGGAAGAAACATCTTTGAATAAGATTACAGTCAATCTCTTGTTCTCTTATCTCATATATAATCTTCTTCTTTAGCCTCAGTAGAATACAACAAGATGTTATGCTTTGCTGCTTCATGTACTGATGTTTGAAAGCACTTCAATACTCTCAAGACTGCTACTCGGTGACTCTCTCTGAAGCCAAATTTAGCCTCAGTTCTCTCCCTTCAACTTCCTAAGAACCAAACCGAAACCCAAATGAGTATGTCTCAAACCCCAAATCACCAAACCAAACTAACGACGACATTTCTTTAGGGGAGAGTAAGAGGGAAGAGAACGAAAGAGTGGATAAGTTTAAATTTACCAATCCTCGATTCAAATCGGTTATGACTTCGGTTTAATTTGGTAGTTTGAAAATTCAGTTATTAGTTTGGTTTGACAATCGGTTAAGTCAATGGAGAGAGTGAACTTCCAAGGCAAACATTAGCTAAGTGCAATACCACCAAGGTAATGCATTCATTCTTGGCTTATATGTGTGTTTCCGTATGTTGTTGCTGCTGCGATTATGAGTACCATGCTGAAACCAAGTGAGCTAGACTTAAGATCCTGCTAATGTCTCAGATTATGGCATTGACCAAGAATGATGATGTCCAGGCTCCCAGAACTATAGATTAGTTCTCTCAAGTGCATAGCCTGAATTTAAATGACGGTTGTTACTTGTGACTTGTACTCTTGTCACTGGTTTTACACAAACCTAATATATGACTTGGCCTATTAAAGCAGCTTCCCAAGAGAGTTTTCTAGGGTCCCAAACTCAGATTTGAAAACTGATAAGTCCTGGAAAGCTGATTTACTATAGAAAGCTAAAGCTTGGAAGTTTGTTTTTTGGTCATCTTAAATAATATTAGAACAAAGACTGAGACAAAGCCAGACGAAACAAAAGGTTTCTCTGGAAGCAAAGCTGCTTGGAAGTTATATATATGGTTTTGTTAGTTCAATTCAAAACATTTTTATAATTGAACATATATATATATATATAGCAATCAGCCAAAAATTGATCATTTACATTATTACTTGATTCTGTTCACAGTTTTTTACACTTGTTTACAGAATTATAAAAATTTCTCATGTCCGAATTTAATTTGGCCATGTGTGAAGTCTCACTGACATGTGTGAAATTGTGAACCAAACATTCTGCATGCTACCTCCATCAATTTCCCTGCAACATGATAGAAAATCAGTTAGATATTATTATTCTCTCAAACCGTTTTGTTTTCCCTGATGACGATGTATTGAATTAACAATAAGAACAAAAAATAGTTCTAAAATGATTGATTGTAAGTTTATGTTCAAATAAATATATAGAAGGAAGAAAAACTCATGAACCAGACCAAGTTGTCTTTATCAACCAATATGCTCTGCTTTTCAAAAAGAAAATAAGCACTTTGTGGTTTTCATATTTTTTTACTATTAACATGGGATTCTTCGTCGGTGGATGATTAAATAGTTTATAATCCAAATTATTCTCCCACAATTATCTACTATTGGAACATATATTATATTATCATACCAAAGTTTGTTAACGAGACTTTGTCTCCATTCTCACACGTCTAATCTCACTTTTTACTAAATACCCTCTCATTGCAAAGACTTACCTATATGTAACTAAGTAATCAGAGTTTATCTTTTTTATAATCATGATTCAATTATATTTTCGATCAGATAGAGCAAAATCACACACACAATTCCTAAATCAATGAAAGTTATTCTAGCTTTATAACTTTGTACTAATGTATCAAACAAACAAAACAAACTTTTAAATGGTGTTATGTACTATGTTTAGTTTAAAATCAATTAATTTGAGGTTAAAACGTCAGGATCAGATAGCTAACGACCAAAATTAAGAAGCTTAAAATTAATTAAAAAATTGATTACCTCTCCTCGGTTTAGCGGTTTTATTAACAACCGGACCGGCGGATTTCTTCTCGACCGGAGTCTCTTCCTCCGGAAACAAAACACCATCAATCCCCTGAACCGAAATACGTCCATCGGTATATATATCCGGATCAAACAAATAAGCCGAACCATCACCATGACCGAATTTAACCGAACCGTCTGCCTCCTGAGCCTCAACCTTATGAGGAAACCGGAGCGAATCATACCGGATTTTCCCAAACCGGCGCACAGAATTATACATACTCTCCTCGGTTTGGTATTCCGGTATGATATGATAATACATAATCTGCTCTGGAGCTCCCGGTTCGCTCAACTGGTCTGTCGTCAGCTTAGCCATAGCTTCGTCGTTAGGAGCCAAGACGGTTAAAACGTAACCTTCCGACACGAGCCGACCCATCTCAGTGGCTAAAGAAGTGAGGTTCACGAGAATGTCTGCCATCTCGTTGTATCCACCGTAATGGAGGAGAGTGTGGATAAAGTCTTTGACTTGAGCCTCACCGTCGAAATGGCGGCGAGCCCCTCCCGGTCCCGGCGCCGGCGCCGGAGCTAGCGACGGACCCGGTGACATCGCGTCGTAAACCGGTAGAACCGGCGGTGCTCCGGCGGGGACCGGGGCGGGTTTTTTCTTGAGACGGTGGGTTCTCGGGTCGACTTCCGGCGCTCCTTCCGGTAACACGGCGGAGATGGAGCGGAGGTTACGACGGCGGTTGAAATCTTCTTGGACGGAGCGAGGGATTAGAAGACGTTCGATGCCGTGGATGATACCGTCGGGTCGGGTCACGTCGTCGGGTTTGGTGATCACGGCGGAGTTGACTTTTCCGGCGGTGAAGTGGAGGTGGTGGTTGGAGAGGGTACGGTGGGTGACGGTGGAGGAGGGGGAGAGGTGAGGGGAAGTGAGTCTTTTGGGGAGAATGTGGAACATCAAGAGAGTTTGTAATGATTTGAGGTTCTTGGGTTGTAATAAGAAAGATTTGAACTCGGGGTCGAGGTTACGTTCTAAGGCCTCGTTACGTGGGGCGAAGATTGTTATGTTGTGTTGACCAACGGCTTGTTCTAATGTTTGGAGGAGAAGAGCTTTCTCCACGAGCTCCGCTAGCTCGGTGTAGTGAGAGTCGAGGAGAGCTACGAGGACTGAGTTTGAGTTTATTTGACCCGACCCGGTTTTATCGGGTAATGCGGTGGTGATGATGGAGGAGGCAGTGAGAAGAAGGAGGAGGGTGAAGACGCCTTCCATGGTGGTGGATGGAAAGAGTGAGAGATGGAAGAATTAGAAAGTGTCGGCGATATAAAAGAATAGAGTTTGGTTTGTGAATTAAGATGATGTGATTGTGATTGTGATGTTTCTTCTTCCTCGAATTTTTTGCTTGTGATTCATTTTCTTTGCTATTTAATGATATTGGGTGGGTGTGGGTTTAATGCTTTTCTTTAATTGTGTTTTATTTAATTGGGAATTTATTTAGCCATTTGGAGGAGAAGAGTGAGGTCCACACGGGAAAAAAAAAAGTTATGGTGACGTCTTGTTAAACTTGAAGCCAAGAGTTGAGCTTTTTTTCAACAACTCATCAGCTTCTGGTCTTTGAGTTTGGGCCTCGTGTCGTAGGTGTCGGTTACTCTACTCATATGCACAATTCACGTTGCTTTCAGGTCAAAAATCTTTCCATTTCTTTCTGGTCCTTTGATCATTCTTATTTTAGTATAATTAATTTAGTTAGGATTTCGTATCTCAATGTTTCCCAAAAAAAAAACTACGGTTCCAAAGCTTCTCATCAAAAATTTTGCCGGTCCACCTTCTAATTTCTTTGTTTGAATGCATCAGTTGTCGTTTTACTCGACTTCACTTATTCTTTCGAACAATCATCTTAGGAACTAAAATGTACTATCATGGATTTATTTAACTGTTGTCGAGTATGACTCATCCTTTATCGATTCTATCTTTCGATTTGCTGTATGTTTTATATTTTCGCTAAAATTGATATCTATAGTTGGTTCAAAGTAAAATGTAAATAAATTCACATTAGATCATGTTCAGTTACTGTTCATGAAACTATATGAGTATATGTAGAACTAGTTCATGTCTTTCTTTAAATCCACTATATGTAGAACTATATTTATATTTATCAATATACAATGAGCATAACGCTAACATTATTAGTGTCATAAATTAAAGAAAGACAAAAAAAACCGAAGAGAATCACGGGCATGTCGAACAAAGTGTCGGTGTGACAATAGAGACTCGTGGGAATTAATATGAAAATATAATTAAATATTACAAGGATACTATAACCAAAAAGAATTAAGTACCATGTACCCTATGTAGTTTAATATGATTGTGAATTGCTTGCCGACTAAACAGTATTTACCTTCCTTTATTTAGTATCAAACGACACTTAGCAAACACATGCTTGCTCAAAAACACATGCATCTCCCCTCTCAACGAAATTCTGGAACATATAATTATACCTTTCTCAGTCACTAATTTAATGATATATCTTTTCTGTTAAATTATATCACTGATTTATTATTGTGATCTACATGCGCTGTGTTTGTTGATACATAAAATCATCGCCGGTGATCGTTCTAATAACTCAGATTTTCAGTTTCCCAAATCACCTGAATATCTAAATCTAAGTTATTTTGGTATAATTAATTTTCGTTTATTTTTTCTGTGTGTTAATAGTATATCTTTCTAAAGAAACGATCTTAATTAGAGTTTGTTGAAAAGTAGTTTGAATTCTAAACTGGCAGTGAAAGAAAATAATGTCTGCCGTCTAGTTATTTATCTTTTAGGAAAAATAGCATATAAACGCAAATACAAAAAGAGAGGAAAAATCCTAATTTGTGTAGGCACATCCGTTCACTAGAATGCGCACAATCTTTTGTCATGTATGTTTGTTATTAATCCACGTCAAACCAATAGTACCGGTACTGACATGAAAAATACCAGAAGTAATTTTCTAAAAATTGATCATTTTTATGAGAACGTTTATATACTATAATAATAATTTTCTTATAAAATGGCTGATTTTTTAAGTATTTTTTGAGGGCCGGAAGCGGTTGTTTGTAATGATTCCCCTCAGGGTCGGTATGTACGATCTTGAAAGAGTTTCCCTTTGCAAAATCTACATTATGCATTAGTCCAAGCATAGCAACATGTACAAAAAAAGAAAAAGAAAAACAATTTCAAAACATTTGACCAATATACCTTCAGTTTTGACATGGTAAATGTGAGAGGTCATTTAGGCATGCATGATGCATCCTACCGATTGAATTACTATAAATCAAGTTAGGGATTTTGAGAATACTCATTATTAAACTCCAAAACTGAATGTTAAACATAGATAGTTAGATACCGTGTACTTATGTAGAAGTCTTCAAAATTAGTGACAGGCTTTGCTTAGAGTATTATATAGGAAAACTATAATGGAAATGAGATATGTTAACATAAGAAAGAAAATAAATAAAGTCAACAATCAGAAGAAAAGCCAATAACAATGACCACTTGCTTGTTGTTGAAGACGTTAAGGTGCTACATCAAAATACAACAAATGTCTTGTAACCAAATTTAACTAGTGATAAATTATAATTAATGAATAACGTAGTAGTTCTTTTCTACATAAATCGTAAGACTAGGAACCAAAAACCAGACAATAGGATCTTCCAAACTGTTGGGGTCCTTGCTCTGGATGGTTTTATTGGTCTGAGTAACAGACTGACATTTCAGATACCATTTTCTGTCGTTACTGAAGAAACATCCTTGAATTGTATCCAATCATGTTATAGGAACTAATGATCAATGGATTGTTTTTTTTCTATAACTCAGAGTAAATTTCTGATTATGAAAGGAACCAACTTAGTATATGGGTGATGTACGTATATATATTCTTGGACCTTAAACAAGAATCATATATGTGAATGTACAAAAATAATGTGTTATAGTTTTGGACATGAGGTGTATGAACTCGTGTTCGCATCCCAATCCCATCTCTTTACCATTTGACTACAATTTACAAAGTCCTGGACTGATCAATGGATTTTAAAATTCTTTAAGTTTTGAAAATATTGAACATCGCATACAGTTTTTAATTGTTATCATATACTGTATCATCACATCAAACTCACACGTGATACTGTAAAAGCTTCTCATGCAAATATGTCTATACCTAAGTGTTTACGCCAAGCCTTAATTAGAGTACGCATCACTTATCTTACATGCCATACAGACGTAGAGCTAGAAATAAATAGCGACCTTTCACGTTAGTTTATTCGTCGCCTTCAAACATATATACAGTACCTTTGTTTTGAAGCTCCGATCAAAGTCAAAAGTAAAACAATCAAACAAAATAATAAAAGGAAGGTTAACATGTTTCTAAATACCCTAGGTTTCTAAACAAGATTTTGCTCCCGAGTCCTGGCCAAACAACATTTTTCAAATATTCAAATTAAGTTTCATTAAAACTTGCCAAGAAACCCGTGACATGAATATGTACTTCGAATTCATTACGTTGAGTAAATGGGCAGTGTTTTTTTTTTTAAATCACTTTGTTCTAATTAATGTGCATTTTTCTTATGGTTGGATATGATATAGTGAGTGAGAAATTCTCTTCTTATGGTTGGATATGATATAGTGAGTGAGAAATTCTCTACTTAGATTTCATAACATATTTGCTACGAAAATTATCAGACTTTGGCCGAGAAATCTTAGATATATCATATAGTGTCAAGAAAAAGTTGAATCATTTTTTTTTGATGATCCGTTTATGTTATACATTGCAAAGTTTCTCAGATTAGTAGTCTTGGGTTTTGAAACTTATCGAATAACAACAAATTTTTGTTTGTGTTTATTTATTGATAAGATTGTTAAGAAACCGTTACATATTTTAGAGTCTTCGTTTCAGTATGGATTTTTATTTCTGATCGAAATTTTATCAGTTTTATTACCTGAATTTTCAACATAGAGCCTTCGCATAGTAGATGAGCAATAAGTAGTTAGGATTGCCGCGTGTTTATTATTTTTATTTTAAATTGAGTAGAAAAGAAGAAGAAATCTTTTTGTGGAAACCTTTTCTTGTTAGAAAAAACTATAATTGATTAGGCAATAATCAAAGAAGAAACTACTTCAGAAACTTCTTTGTTGAATGCGAACTATATGGCCACATTTGATTCTGGAAGATCTTAACATTCAATGTAGATATGCTAGTTCTCTACAAAAATCACTCATAATTTGTCTTTTTGTTGGACTACAAACTATTATTGTTTCATACTTAATTGTTAAAAAATAATAATACGTGTGTATGAATTGATGTATGATATTTGATGGATCATGGCAGTTAATGGAACAACAGACATTTATATTTCAGACAGCTAATATTGATCTATGACCTGGGCACATGCACGTAATAAAACGCAAGACAATCTGAAATAAAATCTGCATTTTTTTTTTGAAAAATGTTAGGCCACTGGAATACTATATATTTCCCTCTATCTAACCAACTGTTGACATAATGTAAAATATATGGTAATACCAGATGGATTATACATATCTAGGTGTCAATTTGTTAAAATAATACATCTATAGTAAGTATATTCAACTCATATTAACTAATTTTTTAATGTTTACATGATACAACATAAATTAGCACGTGAAAATTGAAAAGCTTCTCATGGAAATATGTCTACTTAGTGTCTACGCTAAGCCTTAATTAGAGTACGCATTGTTTCTCTTACGTACATTGGAGACGGTGAAGTTTCGATTGCAGTTAGATTCTTTGTCGCCTTCAAACATATACCTTTTGTTTTGAAGCTCCTATCAAAGTCGATATTAAAATAAGCAAACAGAAGTAAAGAAAGGAACATAAACAACGTGTCTCCAAAGTCCAAACCGTATGTTTCTGAGTCCTGACTAAGATTTCATTTTTCTAGTAGAAACTGAGTAATTATTAACTTATGATCATGACGAAAACATCTTTTAAGCTTTCATATATTAGTTTCATTAGACCATTTACATTATTTTTTACTATAAAATAGTGTCACTATGTAATAGAGTTGAAGTTTACTCCAATGGTACTCTATTTTGGAGTGAAAAATAGAGTTATAAACAAAGAAAAAACAAGTTACTCTATATTTGGAATAAACATATTTTCATTCTATAAATAGAATGAGATATAAAGTATCATTGGAACATTTTTACTCTAAAACTCTATTTTAAAGTGAAAAAATAGAGTGAGATTAGAGATGTCCTTAAAACTTGCCGAGGAGCCGTGACGTGAAAAGGTATTTCGAATTCATTTCATTACGTTGGAACTTGGAACACGCACACACACACACATATATATATTAGTTTAGCTTCAGTGGAAAAAAAAACATTTAGCCCTAATTTGAATGTGATTTCTTACATATTTAAGGGTTGGTTTTGTGACAACTTCTATATTTAGATATTCTGGTTGCAATCGTATAGTTTAACCTATTTTACCACAAGAAGTTTTAAACAAAAAGAAAAGAAGAAAACTATATTCAAATTGTATAGTACTATATATGCATATACAAGCTACTGCAAAACATTGATTCAATTTTTTGGACGGGTCCTTAATTATGATACATGTGATATTAGACCCTCCGTTTGTCAATAGCTAGGTGGTCGTCCATAACTTTGGTATGCAAATGACGAAATGTTCTTATAGATGGGAAGTTTTCTGTTTATTTAGGAAATGGATGAGTAAAAAAAGTCGTTCATATTGTTTAAGAAGGAAAGAAATTGAATACGCAATAATCAAAGAAGAAACTATACTCCGAAACCTTGTGCTGTTATAACTTATATGCGTGAATTATAACATGAGAGACGAATTTTGATTTGGAAGATCTTACAATGCATAGATGCGAGAGTATAAATCACTTTTATGTCTTTTTGGATCTTATGATTTCTTCATCTTCAAAATACTATAAAAATGTACACCAGTATACGTGTGTATGAGATTGATGCGCGATATTGGATCATGGCATTTAATGGAACAACATACATGATACATTTATATCTCAGACAACTAACCGATCTATGATCTGGGCACATGCACGTAATAAAACGCAAGAGTACAATCTGAAAATATTGCACAAAGTGATAAAACTAATGTTATTATTCACTGGAATACTATTTTCCCCTCCATGTAACCTACTCGTGACATAAATTTAAATACATACAGCTGAATTAGACCATCAAAGTCATTTTATTTAGAAAAAGACATCTACTCTTCCCTGCCACAACTTTAGCAAGAGATCTTTGACTTTTATTGAGGAAATGCTTCAGCTGTATTTATCTAATATGGGCCGTAACCCATTACCGGCCCAAAAACATGACATATATGAACCTTCTAATCTCCTTTCTTTTAGTACAAAGCTCATGAAGCCATGATCTTGATAATCTCCTTTCTTAACAAATATGAACCTTCTAATCCCTTTCTTTACCGGCTTCTTATGTCGTCATCCTCACTCTTTCTTGAGGAGGGTGATGCAAATACTATTATATATGTGTAAATAAAGTAGGCATGTGACATGCCGCATGTCGTCACGTCACGATCGTAATTTATTAATCATATGACCAGTTCCATCCTCTGGTAAGCCACACTTTAATTTTGGTCTGTGACCTTTCGGATTGTTTACGGTACCCTTTTCATTAGTTTAAAGACCACGTTTCCATACTAATAATTTCTATGTTTAAACAGTTTTTATATGCCCCAAATCTTTGACAAATCTTGAATGTTTAATAAGTCTTTAAGGTTCTGCTGTCGCACTTCCTGAACATATTATATTTTAGGCTCGACTCTCTCAAATACAGAGTTTGTACGTTAACGCAAAGATAAATAATTTATCCGTATGTCATGAAAGTTTTTGAAATATAATGTAGTAAAACCTCTATAAATTAATAATGTTGGTATTATACCAAAATTTTCTTTTTTTTTATTAGTTTAGAGAGATATTAATTTATCGATATACTAATCGAACCAAAAATTTAATTTGGAACTATAAAATTATATTATTTTATAGAGATATTTAGTGTATATTAATTTATCGAATATTAATTTATAAAGGTTCTACTGTAATTAGTTAATAATGGAATTACCATTCAACACAATAAAATTTTGACAAAATCCTCAAGATATTTTTCCCTGCTGCTTAGCCAATTTAGAAAATAATATATTACGTAATTAGACATATGTGCCTTATAATGAATACATTTTTTTAGAAAAAAATAATTTTATAATTCTTTGTGGACAAGCTTTATGCATTTGAATTATTAAATTTGTAACTATGTATGTTTGTAAAGTTCATTATTTTTCATCATGTATGTCTGTATATGATCTTATCTTAATATAGTGAATATGTAACATTTTTTTTTTGTAACATTTCATAAGTAAACCTCTAAAATGTACATCAAATGATAAAACTAAATATTTCCATGAGCCATTCTAAAATTTTGATAATCCAATACCCACTATTTCTGTATCAGAAACCTTTTAGATTTATTCTCTTCCATTTGAAACCAATTTAACACATTCTCTTATAATGAAATCTTCTCAAACGCAGTGATTCCATGGAGGTAGTTCGAGGAATGAAGTTGTGATCCAATTATCTTACATAAATTGCTTATTACGTCACTAGATTACCCTCAAAATCATTTTTTTTCTTTCTTTTTGTTAAAATTCCCTCAAAATCATAGTTAGTAACAATCACAATTATGAGAAGTTGTAATCAAGAGGCAGCGCAACATATGCACAATCATCACAGCATACGGTTAAACAAAAGGTAGTTAACAATCACATTTTGTATTTACACAAACAAAAATATTTACAAATAAAACCCCCCAAAAACGAAGAAAAAGTTACACAAACAGGAAAAATATTTGACCAATGGGAAGACCTAAAAAAGGTTTTTCCCCAGATTCATCAGATTAATCCCCCCAAAATTAATTACGAAAATTCAAATCAAATCACAAACCCCAATTGATTAATTACATAATAATCACTCCTTCAAAACAAAACAAAAAACCTTCAAACAATTGCCGCCATCTTGGATTGCTTTTCAAATTTAGCCTTGGATGAGTGTCTCCGGCGATACTCCTTGTTATTCCCCGACGGCTCCACCACATCCGCCGCGAATCTCACCTTCTTCTTCATCACCACATTCTCCCTCGATCCTAAAACACAATAATTTATTTATCTTTTTCTTTCTTTCATAAATCAAAATAAATAAAAAAATCAAGAAATGGTTTTGTAAGTTCTTACGGATTTCGAATTCAAACTTGTCCATATAATCAGAGAGGAGACGTTTGTGGAATTGACTCGCGAGGAAGACAACGCTCCCTGAGACGGCGAAGACGGCCATGAAACCTAAAGAACTCTCCATGAAGGGTTTTAATTAATTTTCTTCTACTATTTGATAAAAAAAAAATCAGCAAATGGATCTTGATGGGAGGATCTATGTGATAATAATTTTAATTAGGGGAAGAAGATATGAGGGAGAAGGGATCAGGGGACATGATCTGAGAAGAGATGATGAGAAGGAGAAATGGAAAAAACATTGCAAAGGAGAAAAGAAAAAAAAATGAACAGAGAGGATGGAGAAGTTGGTCTTTGTTGTTTCCATTTTATATTACAAAGACAACTGTTTGCACACAAAAAAAAAAGACAACTATTCTTTTTTCTTTTGTTTTTGGTCAACAAACAACTCGTAGTTATTATAATACAAAAGATTACATCATAAATATACTAAATAATGGTAATTGTTAATATTTATTAGTTAAAACTAAAAGTACACATATTTTTTCTTGTTTTTGATCAGGTAACAACTCAGTAGTTAAAATTAAAATGGTTCAATCTAGACATAAATAAATCCAATTAATAAGAAATTGTTAAATTAAAAAGACAAGTATTTTTTCTTGTTTTTGTCAACAAACAACTCATTGGTTAAAATTAAAATGATTCAGTCTCTCCATCACAAATTTAAATAAATACAGTAATAATATGGTTGTTATTTACAGCTTTTTGCTTGGGTTACATTTGAGTTCTTCTCTGTAATTAATTGAAAAAAGCCTTACCAAGTTACCACCTCTTCATCTTGTTTGTTTTTATTCTTAAATAGATTAACAGTTTGAACTTGTTTCACTTTTTTTTTAATTTCTAGATGACGTACGTTACCCAAAATTCAGAGTCCACTTCTGGTACATGCGTTTAGTGATCTCTTGCGTCTAAAATATACTATTTTGTTGTTAAATGAATAAATAAAGTTATCAAGAATGAGTAGACTTTACGAAGAAAAATCAAAACTACTAGTATTACTTTAGAGTTTTCATATTTATATTAGTTAAAAGATTTAATTAATATATTATATAAACTTCGTTTCCATAGCTTTAAAAATCAAAATTTGCAAAATAGCCAAAATCCTATCTTCTCTCCTCCTTTTTATTCCTATTTCTCTCAACTTTTTTTTTAAAAAAACTAAATTTATTTTTTTGGTTATTTTACAAATTGTCCCAATTTTTATTGATAATTGTCCCAATTATTTCTAAACAAAATGATTAATAACATAGTAGTCGTGCATTTTCTAAACTTTCATTTGCTGTGTATATTATATATTTATTTCTACCATTAACTTGTTTTTTGTCCCTTAGTTTTTTTTTGAAAACATATATTTTATATGTTTCTAAATAATGTATATTTTAAAACTTTTACCTATATTCAATCTTAGTTATACATACATAATTTGTGAATATGTATTTCTTGTAATTTTAATCTAAGAAAATTCAATAAATATAATTTTTTAATTTGCAATTAATCATTATTAATTAATAAAAATATATTACATTATAGAATGTAGTTTATTTATTTGTTAAAATATGCATTTTTCTGAAACAGAATATTTTTGTTACAGAAGGTAAAAGTTGAGAGATAATAACTGCCAAATACTTATATATAAATCTATCATTTTCATATTTGTCAAATGAGTGAAGGATAGGAAGTTTGCTTTCAATATCAAAAATAAAATCAAAAGATTTTTTTCACAGGATAACATCAAAATAAAGAGAGGTGATGATGATGTTGAGGATTATATATATGTCAGGAAATAGATATGGTTCATTTTAAGTTGTCGTTCCTACAACATCAACTTCGGATGTGGTGACAACTGGTGTTCTGTCTGTATTGTTATTATTCTTTATATAAATTTAGTTTATTTTCTGTTTTATTTTTATTTTTTGGAAACTTTTCAATTGTGGAGATGTATGAACCACAGAAAAGAATATACATAAACAAAATAATTATAAGGCTGAGAATCTGTTCAAAAAATATAACATAATTTCTCATAACTCATAGGAAGTCTATTTTCTGAATAATCTTAATAGCAGCAACCTGCATAGATGGGTCCATAGCTCAGTAGTAGAGCATTTGACTGCAGATCAAGAGGTCACCGGTTGGGCCCTCAGTTTTATAGTTTTCTTCTAATCCAGGTAAAATCTCAAGTGTATATTACACTTTCTTTGTAATTATCAAAAAACAATTTCAAAACTTATAGAAAACCTATATGGAGAAAGGGAAGACAAATCCTGGAGACTGTCATCATTCACAAGGTTCAGATAATCCAGTAACTGTTTCCATCTTCCAGCTCTGATTCCTCTGACCATATCTGCTTCACTTGTTCCCACACCAAACATCCCCCTCCCTGCATATTTTTCAGTTCATTTCTCATTCAATCATATGATACTTTTAATCTTTATATTGACTTCTGAAAGTATCTGGTTACCTTTGAAGTGAACTCAACAGTGGTTGTGCAGCATGTACGCTCATCCTCTGCCAAAAGTAACAAACCATCAGTGTCATTTACTAAACCATAAGGACTTGCTGATATAAGATAAGGTTGCAAAAATATCCTTCTTACCGCATTGCTCCCACTTATCAAACTTCACTATGCATTTCCCAGGAATGTTGTCTACAACAAGAACCTGATCCACCCAAACCCAAAACTTCTTCCCACTTTTGTCTCCATGATACTTCCTCAGCTCATCAATGGTGTCCCTCAGAGACTTCTCTGCACCTGATGGATGGAAAAAGACAGCATCTTGGTGCTGAAAAAGTTCCAAGAAAAAAGGTAATTAGTCCGGTCCACAAGACAAATATAGATTCCATTTGCATCTTATTTACAAACACTCACACAAGACTCTCTGAAGCTGTCTATGTATGTTTCATACTTCTTGATCTCGCCGCGTCTCAACCTCTCATAGAACAAGTAGAATCTCACAACTTCTTGACCAGGATTGGCAATATCCGTCTTTCCATTCAAGAACTCAGAATTATCTCTTGGAGAAAGAGTTGGACCAAGCTTGAAATGATCAATAGCTTGAAGAATCCCATCTGCACATCTCTCGCTTGAATGTATGAGCTTTGCGTTGTTTAAAGCATTTTCAGTATGCCACTTCAGTAACTCTTCTTGAGAATTGCTCACCTTCACAAACACACACAGGCCAAAAAAATAAAAACCAGTAAAGCTTTTGTGTTTGGTAAGAATTGAGTGTAACAACTGAACACTACCATGACACCATGAACATCAGGGATGCTGAATAGCTCAGCATCATGTTCAGAGTCACCACAAGCAAGAGTATTGACAGGAACGATTCCTTCAGCCTTAAGCTTCTTGAGAAGATACTCAAGAGCTTCTCCTTTTCCTCCACCTCTTGGTATAACATCAAGATTCTTTCCCCAACTGTGAATAATCTTGACATCCAACTGAAAAATACACAAAAGACGTCAATAACCATTTGGTTTTCAAGAAACAAAGATCTCACAAAAAAGGATAAAAGTAAAACACTTAACGCCACGTTTCTCCAGCAACTCTGAAAGTTCCTTGGTCACTGCCTCACCTTTACCTTCATCAATGTAAAAGCTGATCTTGTGCAGCCTCTGCTCGGTTTTCGGCTGAAGAGTTAACTCAGGGAACTTGCTGGTCTCTTCTAACACTATCTCCCTGTTCCATTTACCGCTGCTCAAGGTCTCAACCCAAGAATGGTCAGGAACCATGGAGTTACCAAAGGCTATCTCGGTTCCTATAGATGTAATAATGATATCAGGAGTCAACAATGGTTTCTCCTTTCTCAACTCTTTGTAAAGAATTGGTGATCTTGCCGTTGAGAAGACAAGGAGAGAGTCACGGCGATATGTGTCTTCCCAAAGTGAGTTGAACCTTAGAAGAGAGAGGTTGTCATGATCTTGATGATCAACCTGTAAAAAACAAAAACAGAATCACATCAAGAACATGTTTATCTTCTTCTATTGCAAATGCAAATAGAGTTTTGCCACAGAAGCAGATCATTACCATGGTATGATCAAGGTCTGAGACTATCATGAGAGGAGGAGGAGATTTCAGCCGTTCCATAATCACCATATTGTAACTTGTAAGTTTCCTGTGAATAGTCATAGAAGGCAAACTGATTGATGTTCTTAGTATACACAACAGTTAGTAAGATTAGATAAAGCAAAAGAAGTATATAATCAGGTGTGCAAGACTATATTCTATATAATCTATTTTTTTGTTACCAGTTTCAAGCATCAAACAATATAGAGATTTTTCATTAACTTCTTCTACAGATATCTAAGTTTCAAAGTTTAGAGAACACTCTTCTCTATGCTTAGAAAGCTTGTTAGTGCTATATAGACTAGTTTAGCTCAAAATCTATTCAATATCAAAATCAAAAGTTCAAAGGTTAACTACAAAGCTCTTAAGACATCATACACATGATAGTCTAAATGTGATCAAGATAGTCTCTTTAAAATCTTTCCCTATTGCATTAATATTTATCTAACCAATAATAAACAAAAAAGAAAAAAAAAGAAACTCATACTTATCTAATTCAAAGAAAAAAAAGTAAAAATCATCTTTAAATAATATCACAATCCAAAGATCAACATAGATGAGCTGCATCACTAAGCAAGAGCAGTAACAAGACATTTAAAGGCATCGCATTTACTACATTTCTCCAAGAAAATTCACCAAAAAGGAGAGATGGTGAAAACCCAAATCAAAGAAGGATGAAAGCAAACCTTGTGTATATCGCTTCTTCTTCTTCTTCTGCAAGTTGAGGAAAAGAAAGAAAGAAAGGAGGTTCCTTGAGAAGAAGAAAGAGAGAATATTTATCAGTCACACTAATCCTCGTGTTGGCGTTACAGCGATTGTATAAAGGACCACGTAGATAATGCCGCCCCATCCACCCAATAAAAGACAAGTATCAACGGTCAGGATCCCTTTTCTTTTCTTTTTTTTTTTGTCAACGTCAGGATTCTTTTCAAAGCATTAAAAGTAGTAAAAAGAAAGAATATTTGTTTCTGTATTTTCCCTTTTTTTTTTGGTCAAAACTTTTTTGTTTCTTTCTTTAGTCTTGTTTTTTAGTTCAGAGCATCCGTCTTGTTCAATAGAAGATTGGGTCTTTTCACCTCCCATAACTTCTTTTTCTTTTCCTTTCTTTTTCTATTAATAGACCAAATTTGAGTCTTAGATGGTTTCTTATAACTTATGGTGGAATCTGTGGACAGCATTGCCCAGTGGATTATCAATAAGTTTGTATGGAGTTTTCCTTAGAAACAAACAAGGAAACGGAAAACAAATTAAAGTAACATGGTTATAATGCTTTTCCACCATAAACAAAACAAAAAAATGACTAGGAAAAGGACAAGTAAGGATGTAACGGCTCACCATCCACGATTAATGGGTTTTTGCATGCCTGTTCTCTGAATCTATGAGTTTCATTTCATATAATAGTTGGTGCGTTAATTTTTGGGAGGTTTGAAAAATTTGTTTAATAATCATATAATCACTAGATATATTTTACATGTATTTACTCATATGATATCTGAAATCACATTTTAACATGTCTCTATCATTTAACTATTTCATGTCAAAGCGCTTAACTATTACTCTCTCTCTCTCTCTTTTAATATGTATTTTTAACATAAAAACCCCTCAACTAAGTTTGTTTCGGGTAAAAACCCCTAAACTAAGTATTTAATGAAACAAACCCCAAACTAACTTTATTTAGTGAATTAAACCCTTGCCGTTCATAATTACCTGTATTACCGGTAAATCTTCAGTTTAGAGGTTTTATCTTTAAACATAAAATCAATAAAATTCAAAAGAAAATAACATTATCTAAAAATTCGTAATTTTAATTTTCAAAACTTTCATTTAAAAAAAACATTATGTAACTATATGAGTCTGATTTGTTATCCTTTTAAAATCAAATTATATATGTATAAATTCAAAATGTAAAAACCAAGAAAATATAAAAAAATTATCTAAAGATTTACCTGTAATAAAAATTATCAAAAGTAATAAATATAAAACCAAGAAAACAGAATAAAAATTATATTTTATTTAATAAAAATGTAATAATAAATCTTTAGATGATTTTTATTATATTTTGGTGTTTTAAAATCTTAATATATATATATATATAATGTTGATGTTAAAACAAATCAAACTCATATATTTACAGAAAGTTTGAAAAATGCTTATTTTAAAAATTTAAGTTATTAATTTTTAGATAATGTTATAATTTTTCTTTTAGATTTTTAACGATAAAAACCCTTCAACTATCTTTAATATGGGGGTTTACTTGTTAGTTTGGGGGGTTTTACCCAAAAAAACGTAGTTAAGGTATTTTAGAGTTAAAAATCTATTTTACAAGGATAAGAAATCACGCTTATATTTACAAAAAAATTTAAAATGCTAGTTTTGAAAATTATTACAAATTTTTAGATAATTTTATTATATTTTGATTTTGATTTTTTTTTTTATGTTTAATCATAAAACCCCTACACTAAAAATTTACCGGTAGCACTGATAATTATGACTGGCGAGGGTTTAATTCACTAAAGAAAGGTAGTTTGGAGATTTTTCATTAAATACTTAGTTTAGGGATTTTTATCCAAAACAAACTTAGTTGAAGGGTTTTTATGTTAAAATCCTTTTAATATTGATGAAACCTAGCTGTTCTTGATTATTACAATGATCTGAGAGATGGTTTTGTGGATGTTTGGCTTTGTTGAAAAGACTGCATAGAATAGTCAACTCTCGGAAAAGAAGACTGGTTGTTCTGCTTGTTTCTCTAACGAATCACACGTCCATGGAGATGAGTTGAGGATGTATGGGACTAGTCGCAGTGGTAAAAAGGTTTGGTTGAGAAAGTTATATCTCAAGTAGAATCAACCCACACACTATCATTTTATAATCTTAAGAGGAATAATATCTCAAAGTATTGAAATAAGGCCATTATCTTCTGTAACGAACTATTTCTCCACCATAACTATCGTATAGTAATAGATTCACACGAATTTTGGACTTCGTCCTAATTGCACACAATTAAACTATATCAACACATTTTTCTCTAAAACGAAAAATCGAAACCCAATTTCCCCTAAGATTTGAAAGACGAACTAATACAAACAAATGGCGGTTTAAAGTATTGGTCGCACATGGTGAAGACATCACTTGGGGTTTATGGAGCCATTTCATCTCAGCTTCTCCAAAACCCTCTAAAGTAGCCGCGGCAAAAGGAGATTCTTCTGAAGATGAGTCCACACTTGGTGTTAAAGAAGGATGGAAGCAAGAAGACCTTGTGGCCTTGTTCATTATCCTTTTTGCATAAAATATTGATCTTTAGGATTCAAAAGGAGATTCTTGTTGTTCCATTGATTTTGTGAACTCCAGCTTGTTTTTCTGTTTCAAACACACTTGGTTCAGTGATTGAGAGAGTCAATCGATCCACTGATTGAGAGAGTCAATCATCTATTCATCATCCATCTCTAACATCGTCCCACCTTCCGTAAGTGATCTTAAGTTGGAGTGATTTCAATCTTATATCATCTGGTATCAGAGCTTCAAAAGCTCATATCCATCAGGTTTTATCTATCCACTTTGTTTTTCATTTTATTTGCTTTTGTGTTCTTGTTAGAAAATCAGAAAACTCATAAAAATCCTTTTGCTTTGTTTCTGTTCTTGTTATTTTATTTCCAGAAAAAGTGTGTTTCTATTCTTTTTTATGTTGGCATTATGTGTATATTACCGATGACCCTATTATTCGCCTACATTTTTTCAAAAGAAATAAAAAGAAAATGAACAAGGTGGACTGTAACAGCACTATTGAGTCATTAGATATATATATATATATATATATATATATATATATATATATATATTTAGCATCAAATGAGTCATTGGACTCTAGAATTTTACTAGTTTTTACCCATGGTATATGTGCTCTAATGAATCTATTATATGGGTTTGGAGTATGTTTTAGAGTGTTTACGGGTTCATGTACGTTCTGGAGAACTTTTGTAATTCTGGAGCTTTTTGAGGTGCAAAACTGCACATACGCGTATGATGTTTATCTATGGATATAGATCTTCTCACCGTTAGATTGAGTCCATATTTTGTCAAAAGATATAGCTTGGAGTTAGCTTTTCAATGCCACTAGTTTGAGGTCAACCAGAATTTTGTATCGAAAGTTATGCCTGTTTTACTGAAAAGTGGTCAGTGTGCCTCGCGAAAGGAAGCTGTCAAGAAAATAAAGGAAAATCGATCGATGCAGCACTACTTGTATCGATTGATATGGATCCAATAACGCAGGCCAAGTATGTGTAAAGACCAGAAGAAACCTAAATTACCAGAATGCCATGACGACCAGAAACCCTATTTATGTGTGTTTGTAAGCCATTGCTGACGGCTACGCTTTCTTTTACATCTTTTCTTCATAGTTCTTAGTTATGAGAGAAGAGAGGAACTCCTTCAGATTCCTCTTCGAACTCCCTTGATTTTGGTTTAATTTATATTTACATTTTTCATATATTCATCTATGATTTATGTGACAACTATCATGTATAAGTAGATCCAACTGCTAGGTTTAGGAATTTATTGGGTTTTGAATGAACTTCTTAATTACATGATTGCTAGGATACTATATATATCTACACCATGGTAGCTTGTAATACTAGGATATGGAATAGTTAGAAAGGCACGACAGGGTGACTAATTGTTTGTTCCTAAAATCATAGGACAAATGAGAGGCACAAGAGTGCAATAAATTAGAACCCGAGCCTTGCATGATTAAATACTTAAGTGCATACTAGTGTTGGTCTAGGAATCTAGTTGAACATAATCGATCAGATCGATAACGCTTTCACACTTCTTAGCTCTAACTCTTTTTATTTTTATTTTTCCTTCCCTACTATCTTATTGAATCTTTTTTTTTTAATAAGGGGGATGATCCTTTAGAATATCTAGAGCTTCTTTTCTTTTCTTTGATCCCTAGGGTTTTTCTTTTCCCATGCACTCTTTTGTTTTTGACAGCAACGAGAGTAACGATAGGTATCTTCAACTATGTTATCTACAAAACTGGTATTTACAAATCTGTT